GAAGAAGAATTTTCCAAATTCTCAGAGGGGCCTTAAACTAAACAGTGATGCACCCCCAAAAAAGGTAATCTGTGTGTCTGTGTTGTAAACATTCCCCAGCACCTGAGCGCGGCGCCGGTGAGAGCCTCGGTACAGGGCCAGCACAGTCCGAGGGTCCCAGTTTAGTGGCGAAAGCTTCCTACTTGCGACCAATCCGGGTGTTGAACCCGAAGCTCTGTCTGATGCAGCGCTCCCTCCGCTCCTCGCGTTCGCGGAGGCTTGAAAAACCCGGCGCGACGGAGCTTAGGCTGCCGGCTCCAGAGACGCGGGCAGATTAGGCAAATGCTTAGAGACCAAAGTTTGTGAGTGGGTTACTAGGTATTTTGGTTCTCTAGTGCTGCTATAACAGGCATACCACAAATGGGTGTCTTTAACAAGCAGGATTTGTTCTCTTACAGTGTAAGAGATAAGAAGTCCAAGTGCAAAGTGCCGACTCTAGGGGCTGAGTGAAGGCCCTTTGACCTTGGGCTTCAGTTCTGCCTCTTGCTCCTGGCCCCTTGAAGCTGGAGGCTTTTCTTAACTTAGACAGCTGCTGGCTGCCTGAGGCTGACAAACCCAAGGTCAACAAGTAAAATGGCACAGTCCCAATATTATCAAGCAAAGTAGCAGGCCACTAGTTCAAGCCCATTTACAGTCCCAAGATCAAGCGACAGCATGGCAGGCCCCTGAGATAAAGACTCAGTCAAATGAAGAATCCAGACGTGCCAAAAGCTAGGGGCTTTTCTCAACCTCATCTTACATACTGCAAGCAGATCACATCCGTAAGGCAGCTACTCAGCTGCTCACAGTAGATTCTACCATGAAGTTGATTGTCAGTCTTATCATGGGGAATAACTACATCTAGCTGCCCAGCCACTCAAAGCCAGGCCCAGCCAAGGTGACACATAACTACCACTCCAGGGATGGGAGGGAGGGGAGAGGGGGATGTCATTGCTTAAGGGACACTGAGCTTCTAGGAGAATTGGAAAGCGAATAGTAGTGATGGTTGCATAATATGATGAACGTAATTAATGTCACTGAATTGCACATGTTGAAAACTGTGGAAATGGGAAGTTGTTTGTTGTGTGTATATGTGACACAATAATGAAAAGAGAAAAAAAAAAGATTCCATAGAGCAAAGATCCACGTGCATTTCACAATGTCTCTTGATGTCCTGCACATAATAAAAAAGATGGAAAGAATGTGTTTATGAAAACCTCCCCTAAACCAAAACTGGCATAGTGTAAGATTGATTTTTCCTGTTGGGATGTGTCTCTCTCTGGAGGTGGGGCAGAGCAGTGTTCTGAGAACACACAGGTCACCATTTCAGTGTACTGTGACTTAATGCTCCTCTTGATTTTCTTGGTGGTTCAGGGTCCTATCGCAGAGAGGGCTCCCTAGGTGAGCAGCATACTGCTCATGTGGCGTGTGGACTAGTTATTTGGTCTCTTTCACTGTGTTTTATCACATTTAACTCCTGTTTCAAAGCTACTGGCTTTGGCATCTGGTTTTCAATATTGGCACCACTGTTCAGTAGTTGCCTAGATGCTGTTTTTAGACTTCATACAAAAGATTTTAAATCAGAACAACAGTGAAGGTAAAAATAATCCCTCAGTAGTTACCAGGAGCACCCCAAGGTTCTCTTATGCCTACTAAGCATAGACCACATGGGATCCCCAAAACCCATTGCTGTCAAGTCGATTCTGACTCATAGTGACTTGATAGGGCCTAGGCTATAATCTTTATAGGAATAAAACTGCCAGATCTTTTCTCTGACGGAGCCACCAGTAGATTCAAACATTTTGTTTAGCAGCTGAGTGCTTAAACATTGTGCCACCAGGGCTCCTTCAAAATGGGATAGGAACCTAATTATTTCTGTTTATAGCTAAACAGAGCTGCTGAGTGTTAGTACCATGAATACAGTTCCACTATCCTTGGGCACTAGCTTTGAAACTGTGTAAGTCTCTGTAAGCTTTTTAAATGTGGACAGTTTATCCTGTTTCCATTTCTTTGGCATAAAATAGGACTGCATTGCTATTTTTACATTGTATCATTTAAAATTTTTATAAGATGCAGTTGCACTGTACTGTGCATCATTACTGAATCGGTGTATTTTATTTCCTTCTGGCAGTACCTAGCATGTATTTTTTTATTATATAGAATTGTTGGAGGAGGAAAATCTCCAATTGTCCTAAAACTAGAAATATGTTTTTCTCTTCACAGCCTGTGACCTATTGCTACAGCCAGACAACCTGGCCTGCAAACCCTGTGAGTATAGCTGTTCATACCTGTCAAGCCTCACAGGGCTGCCTCTGGGATGGGGTCAGGGTGACCTCCAGGTGCTCACTCACCCTGGTCCTTCCTCCTACCAGTCTGGAAGCCTCGGAACCTTAACATCACCCAGCATGGGTCAGACATGCAGGTGTCCTTTGACCACGCGCCCCACAACTTTGGCTTCCGCTTCTTCTACCTTCATTACAAACTCAAGCATGAAGGACCCTTTAAACGGAAGACCTGTAGACAGGTGAGCCTCTGAGTGTGCATGAAGGAACACCACCATGTGCTTTAAAATAACTGTCGCCCCCTGAAGTTTGGATGGCTCTTGGGGTTCACAGAAATTCAGGATGTTATCACCAGGCATATCTCTGGCTGTCTTACCATCCTTGCTCTCTAGTTACCAACCCGGCAACCCTGGTAGTGATAGAGCCTGGTAAAACTATTGTCAAGGAACCAAAATAATGAAGTATAACTAGTTTGTTCTCCATTTATTTTAACACTAATCAGGTGCTCACTGTGTGCCAGGCACCAGGCTTTGGACTTGTCACATATTCACAACTCTATGAAATAGAGGCAGTTCTTGTCCTCTCTTAACAGATGGGAAATCTGAGGCTCAGGAAGGTGACTTGACTTGTTCAAGCTTACACAGTTTATACATGGAAAAAACAGATCAAGAAGCCAAGCCACTAGAAATTCTTGTATATGCCATGGATGAATGGAAACTTAGTAGCCAAATCCTTAAGCTGGGGGCAGTCAGAGTAGAGAGGGTGTTCTATGAAAGTTCACAGGACTGCCAGATTGCCCCCTGCAGGTGCTAAGAGGCTTTGACCGTGGTGGCCCAACTCAGTGCCCTGTTCATGACATGTCCATGAGTATGTTGAGTTCTGTCATTGCTCTCCTGCTGGCTCTCCCTTTTGTCATTGACCTTCTGCCCAAGGTAAAACGAGGACAAAATACACACACACACACACACACACACCCATTGCCATCAAGTGGATCCCAACTCCTAGCAACCCTGTAGGACAGAGTACAATTGCCCCATAGAGTTTCCAAGGCTATAAATCTTTACATGTCTTTCTCTTGTGGAAAGGCTGGTGGGTTCAAACTGCTAACCTTTTGGTTAGCAGCTAACCACTTAACCACTGTGCCACTAGGGCTCCCATACATGCATGTTGTTGTTGTTATGTGCCATTGAGTCAGTAATTCTTTCCCCACCCTTTTATAAAGTGGGGAGTATTTTGAATAGTTCCCTTGTCTTCAAATCAAATATTGCTGCTGAAGGCACCACCAGTAGAGTGTAGACTATGACTGGGGTCTAGGGCACTCCTGGACTTTTTATCAAAGTGGTTCAGATAAGACAGTCAGTTTCTGATTGAGTCATTATTATCATTGGGAAAATGTGGTTGAGGCTCGTGGCAAACCTTATCCACCTCTGGGGAGAAAAGAGGGATCCTAATGATATTAGTCTTTTTTATTATTATTATTCTGATTTAGGTGAAGGTTTACAGAGCAGATTCACTTTCCATACAGCAGTTCATATATACTTTGTCTCATGACATTGACCACAGTTTACCACAATGCAACAGCTCCCCTCCCACTTCCTCCCCATAGTAATCCCTT